ATTTCTTTTTTTTGTGTATTTTTTCATTCTTTTATACGTTCCTTCATTCACATTTTCATACGTTTGTTCACTCTTTTGAATGTTTGTTCGTTCGTTCGTTCGACCGTTCACCAGTTTTTTTTTCTGCTATTGTTCAACCGATAGTAATTTTCGATTGGTTTACTACTAGCCATCTTCTTGCATGCTTTGCTTTCTCGCTGTCGCTGAGTCCTGCTAATGAACACAAATACGGAAAAAAAAGACCGGAGGAAAGAAAGAAGAAAAGAAATGAAGGAAGGAAGAAAGAAAGAAATAGAAATGAAGAAGTAAAATGATAGTAAAAAAATGAAAGAAAGAAAGATTAGATATAAAGGGTAAGAATATATCTATATTGAGAGAAAAAAGAGAGAAAAGAAAAAAAGAAAAGAAGAGCGAGAAAAAGAGAGAGAGAGAGAGAGAGAGAGAGAGTAAAAAAGGAAGATGGTTTTACGTGCCTGCCTGTGCATGCGCTTGAATTAATTCACTCATGCAATACGTTTCGACCGACTAAATAATGAAACAAAAAAAGTAACATCAGTTTATGTATGTATGTATGTATGTATGTATGTATGTATGTATGTATGTATGTATGTATGTATGTATGTATGTATGTATGTATGTGAGAATTCAGTTGAACCACAACCAATACGAAGCTTGCTCTACGCTACTAACAACTTTCTTCAGACATGCTGTACGATTCCAACCTGACAGTCCCAACAGACATACATCGACGTTCCCACTGTTCCTTCTGCACCAGCCTCAACAGCGTAGAACCTGGTTTTGCAGTTTCAGAAGAACAGTTTCACTTCGACATTGAGCAACGAAATCGGTCGAAACTGGGAATACTTCCCCCTCGAAACGAAAATACCATCTGCTACTTACTACTATTACTACTACTACTACTACTACTACTACTACTACTACTACTACTATTACTACTACTACAACTGCTATTATTATTATTACTGCTGCTGCTGCTGCTACTTCTACTACTACAACTACCTCAACACAGTTGTTGCTACTCAATTGACATTTTTTAGTTTTTCAGCTTGCCTAGAGTATGATTAATGACGGAGGCGCCGAATAAATAGATAAATTTATATTTCATTTTTGAAATTTAAAATAAATAATTCTTTTTTTATGAAATTTGAAATAACAGAAATAATGAAAATTATTTATTTATTTATTCATCTATTTATTATTATTATTATTGTTATTGTTATTTGTATTTTATAAGCAACACAGCAAAAGGGCAGGCTTCTGCTCGTTAAGAAAATAATTTTTTTTTTTAAAATGACCATCCGCACACATGAACGAACGAACGAACGAACGAAAGAACGAACGAACGAACGAACGAAAGAACGAACGAATGAACGAAAGAACGAACGAATGAACGAACGAACGAACTAACGAATGAACGAAAATAAGAACGAACGAAAGAACGAACGAATGAATGAATGAATGTGTGTTTTGTGTTTGTGTGTGTGTGATTATATACATGTGAACATGTTAAAGTTTTTATGTTCGTGAATGTGTTATAGAAAAATAAAGAGTTAGTGCGTTCGTGTTTTATGTGTGTGTGCCTGTGTGTGTGTGTGTGTGGTGTGTGTGTGTGCGTGTGTTTGGTTATCTTCAATGAATATTTTAAGGTTATATTTATACCTTGATTTTTGTTGTAAAATGTATTTCGACATTGACGAAGTAACAATTTTCTTGCTACTACTGCTGTAAAATGAAGAAAAAAAATTTAAGAAATTTATGCATATTACTTTCGAGCGATTCGCGCCAATTTCATTTTTACACAAGCGGAAACCTATTGACGTCTGCCAAGAGAAATTAAAACATAGACAGAATATTTTTTTGGCGTTTTTATATTTTTTTATAGTTTTGTAATTTTTTCAATAATTTTTTATACATCTGTAATGTACATATGTACATATAGATACAAAGTCTAGAAAAAATAAACGAATAGAAAAACAGATCAATGTATCTGGTCGATCTAGACAAAATGAGAAAACAACATCAACTACTTCTACTGCTACTAAAGCTACTACTACTGCTGCTGCTGCTACAACTTCTACTGAAACTACTACCATACTAACTCATTAGTGACGACAAAATGAAATATTTAAAGACGAATTTGACAGATAATAACACTCAGACACGGCTTTATGTTCTCTCGCGCTTTCTTTCTTTTACTTTTTTCACTCACTCTATCTCTCTCTTTCTCTCTCTCTCTCTCTTTCTTGTTTTTCATCCATTTTTTATATTTTTTGTCATTTTTTGTTTTTTATTCACCGTTTTTTTCTTCTTTCATTTTTTTAACTTTCCGCAGTCACTTTTTTTATTTGCTTAATTTCATACTTACATTATAACTCTTTCTCTTTTTGAATTTTTTGTTTTTATCTCTTCTTTTTCACTTATTCTTCTCTCTTTCTTTCTTTCTTATGTTCTATCTTTTTTCTTTTTCTTTCTTTTTTAATTTTTTCTAGTTTTTTGTCTTGTCTCTCTTTCTTTTTCTTTATTTTCCTCCCACGCTTTTTTTCTCTCTATCTTTCTCTCTGTTTCTAACTTTCTCTCTCTCTCTTTATCTTTATCTCTCTCTCTTTCTTCCTTTTCATTTTCTTTTTCAATCTGTCTTTCATGAGTACTTAAATGAATATATCCTGCTGGCAAAGCATCTCCCGCCAAATCCATTCTCGTCTGTTAAACACTGCACTAAACTTGTTTTTTTTATTTTCGCAAGTAATTGTTTGGCATTTCGAATGTCGTTGTGTGTGTGTGTGTGTGTGTTTGTATATGTGTGTTTATCTGTGTGTATTCGTAAGTGTGTGTGTGTACGTGAGAGTTGTGTGTATGTGTGTATAAATGAGATGTGTCTATGTACTTATTAGTTCACATAGGTTTACAAATTTCAAAATGTGTTGTGAATTAGCACTAAATGTTTGAAATCAAAATATTTTTTAGAACAAATAAATAAATATAAACTCAAAACAGACAAAATGTATGTGCTCGTCTATTTTGAAGCAATATTGATTTAGACCAGTTGTATAAATACACAAAAATGGGTCTTTTGGGACTATCCATCAATCAATAACATGTATTTGTATGTTTGGATGTGTATATGTATGTATGTGTATGTATGTATGTATGTATGTATGTATGTATGTATGTATGTATGTATGTATGTATGTATGTATGTATGTATGTATGTATGTATGTATGTATGTGTATGTATGTATTTAATTATGTACGTATGTATGTGTTTATGTACGTATATATGTATGTGTGTGTATGTGTGTTTTTGAGTGTGTACGTGTTGATGTGTGTAATTGTATATGTATCGTGAGTTAAAAGGCCCAGACAGTCAATTCTTTCAAATTATTCAGTTCGCACCAACTAATAAGATTGAAACAATTGCATGCGATGAATATTTGAACAGTCTCATCAATACGCACGTATTTAATTAAAACCTAGGTTAATTTCATAATTCTACATTTATCTCAGAGTTCTTGCTTTTTAGATAAAAAAATATTTCTCTGTGTATTTTATTTAATTAGTTTGTTGCCCAGAGCCGTTGGTGTCGATAATTTTTTCATCCAGTTTGCTCTGTGATAGTTTAGATGTTGATGCATATTTTTGTTAAAATTTTTTATTTTTTGTTATTTTTATGTTCATTTTTTTTCTTTGTTTTTTCCAAGCATAGATAAAATTTTTTAAAGATTTTTTCATAAAAGTGTCACAAAAAAAGACCAAACGCTAGGTAACTTAATTATCACCTCATGTCGTTGGTTTAGCCAATGTGTTGGACGTGTTAATTTTGATGGATGGATGGATGGATGGATGGATGGATGGATGGATGGATGGATGGATGGATGGATGGATGGATGGATGGATGGATGGATGGATGGCTGGATGGATGGATGGATGGATGGATGGATGGATGGATGGATGGATAAAATTATTAATATAAAAATGAATGAATGAATAAATGAATGAATGATATCTGTATAAATAGAAATCTGGACATTTGTACTGATGGATAGATAGTATTGTTGTGATAAATGTATGAGCAAAGACAAAAAAAAACAAACAAAGCATACAAAAAATTATACAAAACATACATACAAAACAAAAAACATTTAAAATATACAAAACGTATATACAAAACGTAGAGGAAAACATACAAAAATACGCCAAAACATACAAAAATATACAAACCCCTATGTTTCATCTCAGCGATACTTTCATTGAATATTTTAGCGACAGCCCAGACGCTGTCGTAACCGTACGGCGCCTCTTGCTTCGCCACTAATTCTTTGTCGCCGGTTTTATGTTTGTATTTCTCGTGAAATTCTTTGTATGTCTGTTTGTTTGTTTGTTTGTTTGTTTGTTTGTATGGTATGTTGGTTGTTCGTTTGGTCAGTTAGTCATCAGTCAACTTGTTGATTAATTAAATAATTAATAATGTTTTGATTGATTCTGTGTTTAACGTAATTACTCTAATTGAATAATTAGGATCAGAATTGCCACACCAACCACACCGACTTCAACAGCCACAACCAAAAAATCGCCACACCAACTTCAACAGCCAGAACCACCTTGCCAGAAATTCCAACGTGGTTAGACTGACTCATCGGCAGAGCGTCAACCGTGAAGTAACCTACGTGTGTGTGTGTTTTTGTATGTGTGTGTTTGTGTGTGTATGTGTGTGTGTATGTGTGTGTGTGTGTGTGTGTGCGTGAAGTCTGGAGTCACCTTGTATGGCGTCTTCTAACTGGGCCACGGTGCAGTCGTGAGGAAATTCCGAAGATGTGTTTTGCCACCATTTCGGTCCGTAAAAACCTTTAAAACCGTGGTTATACAATGGTGGTTATACAATTGTGGTTATACAATGGTGGTTATATAATTGTGGTTATACAAGGGTGGTTATTCAAACTTATATATACAATGTACGGTACAACTCTAACACGCAAACATTTACAAAACCCCTACATACGAAATGAAATGACATACATACATATACACACACAAACAAGCAATCATACAAACAGACAAACATATAAACATACATACTAACAAACAAACATACATACAAACACACATACAAACTAATATACAAACCAGTTATTATCCAAGCATAGTTGGCTCCATACATTTTCTCTTTGTAAGCCTGGCAGAAAATAATCCTGGCGTAGGACTCGTAAAAATTTCCAACTATAATTCTCACTTCTCTCTTCTGAATGTATGCAGAGGTGTATATTGGTGTGTGTTACTGTTGTGTGTATGTGTGTGTGTATCTATGTGTATATTGGTGCATGTATTGGTGTGTGTATTGGTGCGTGTATTGGTGTGTGTTACTGTTTTGTGTATGTGTGTGTATCTATGTGTATATTGGTGTGTGTTACTGTTGTGTGTATTGGTGTGCGTATTGGTGTGTGTATTAGTGTGTGTATTGGGGTGTATGTATGTGTGTGTATGGAAGTTTATATTCGTAAGTTTCTTGTTGCATGTGGATGCATATCTTTTCTGTTGGGAATACTGATGTGAATTTTGTTGTGTACATAGGTCATCATCACCATCATCATTACCACTATCATCATCATAATCACCTTGAGATTTTTAACATTTTGGATTGGATCATTGGTGAATGACTCTGAAGCCAGGATCTCTATGCCCTTCTCCCATGCTCTTTCAACGAAATCTAGGTTTGTCTGGGTGTGGAATATTTTTTATATACTTTTGTATGTATGATTTTGTATATTTTGTATGTTTTTGTGTGTTCATTGTATGTTTTTGTGTGTTCTTTGTATCTTTTTATATGTTTTTGTGTGTTTGTTAGTTGGTTGGTCTGTATGTTGTTTGTGTATATGTATTTTACATTTAGTAACTAAGTAACTTAGAAAAGCCACTGACAGAAAGTTAACTTCATTTAGATCAGCATTTTCCAACAAAGAAGTCATAATTGGCAACGACTAACAAAGATCTTACAAAGTTAAAGTCGCTAAATTTTTTTTGCTCTCCAACTAACCATGCTAAAAAGCTGAGCCGATTGGTGTAGGGTTCCGATTCGTTTCCAGTTGAAACTTTTTAAAAGTTCAAATTTGGCGTTGTTGAAAGAGGACTCGGGAGGAAAAACCCGCATGAACTTTTTGTAGATTGTTTTTTTCGACAGAGAGGGGCTGGCGCTAGAATACGAGAGCTGATTGGTTGGTTGGATGGGGTGGATGATTGTGATTGGTTGGGTTGAATGATTGTGATTGGTTGGTTGAATGGAGTGGATGATTGTGAATGGTTGGTTGGATGGGTTGGATGATTGTAATTGGTTGGATGGATGAGTTGGATGATTGTGATTGGTTGGCAGATTTGTGATGATTTCGAGTGGTCTGTTGGTGGTGATAATGATAGTTGTGATGATGGTGATGAAAATGATAATAACGATAGAAGATATGTTCAGGATAAAACAACTAGACAAACAGAAACTTGCACCTGTATAACATTCCAGAGGTGGGAAACTTGCGCTGTGGCCTGACTGACATCTGAACAGCCTGCCCCCAAGACCAAAGTTTTTATTGGAGGGGTGTACAAGTCCCTGTAGAGCAGGTCCGTGCCAAGCCCTGCGTCACACTGATAAATTAATTTGCATAAATTTGCTTAAATTATAAAAATTGATTGTATTAAAAACTTTCCATTAGTGAAACGAATGAACGAAGAAATGAATGAATGAACAAATGGATAGGTGGATCACTGTATAGACGATTCAAGCCATATAATAAAAAATAACACCAAACACACATATACAAGCAAACACACAGACACACACACAGACACACGCAGACACACAGACACAGAGAGAGAGAAGAGAGGGAGAGAGAGAGAGAGGAACTACCATCGCGTTGCCAAGCAACGATAGACTAAGTAAGCAAATGTTTAAAAATGTTTACTGCAACGGCATCAACGAGCCATAAAAAATGATCGCCGCACGCTATGACACGAGGTTAACCATAAAATGGCTAATGAATGAGTGAATGAATGAACGAAGAAATGAATGAATGAACGAATTGATAGGTGGATTAATGTATAGAAAGATGGATAGACAAGTGAATTATTAAATGAATGAGCTAATTATTTTAGTAGGTTAATACTTTTCAACAAGAATTGAATTTAACCTGTACCAAATTTTTAACAATTTAAAATTTGAAATAATTTTTCATCTATTTATTATTTTATTGAGCCGCGAAAAAAATTTGCTGAACAGCAGCACTTGATGTTGCTTGCATAAACCGCGTTCGAATGCAAGCAGATCCCAGTTTGTTATGTTGTTGTAGTATGTGTCTGACGCAATGTATCCACGTACGCCGTGCGTGTGCGTGTGTGTGTTTGTGTGTGTGTTTGTTTGTGTGTGTTGATTATATATTAGGAGTGAGAATGCTGTAAGAGTGATCTATCTTAAACCCTTGAAAATTTTGTATTCCGAATTTTATAAAATCCAAAAAAATTGTTAGTATTCAGTCAGACAGTATTGGCCCGCTACTATTGGGGTCTCATCACGAATTAACATACAACCGACTTTATCAACTTCACCAGACGCAGACTTATGATCGAGAAAACTGAAAATTTAGAAAGTAGGCTGTTGCTTGCGGACTATCCTCTCCTAAAACCAACAAAATGTTTGCACTAAACAAGTTAATTCATAAAATTAACAAATAAATAAAGCCATGAAAACATGAATACACCAGCTATGAAAATTTTTAAAAAATTTTTTAAACAAAAATTTATAGCAGCAGCTGAGTAACGCAGATGTAGAGCCATAAATGAAGCATTAAAAACTTTT